GAGAGAGAGAGAGAGAGAGGTCATCCCTTCCCAGGGATGATAGCCATGCTGCAATCCCTTCTCCTCCATTCTCCTCTTGAAATTTTGGGCATGCACACACACACACACACACACACACACACACATACACACACCTGGTGCTATTTTCAAACTGCCGGGTCTGAGACTTAAACTGTGGTTGGCTATGTGGTAATCTAGTGCATTAACAATGCCACCTGCTCACCCTAAGACAGGTTTGTTCAATTAGTATATGTGTGTGTGTGTGCATGTCCACATATGTGTGTATGTGTATTGTGTGTGTGTATTTTAAAATGAAAATAGCATGTATTTTTTTCCTCTTCTTTTTTGTTTACTTAAATTCAGAATTTATTTTCAGAAGTTCAAAATCAAGCTGAATGGATGCTTACCTGCTATTTGCCCTCAAAGTGAAAACTTCCTGTTATAAACAGTTGCTCATTTTGTTTGTAACAAGGGATCTTGTCATTTAGCTGAAATAACACCCACACACATTACATTCTAAAACCAATGCCTAGAAGCCTGAGAGAAGTGGCTTTTTCAAGTTAGTATTTAAAATTTTGCAAATAGAATAAAATAATACAGTAGACCCCAACTTTCAGAGACTTGATATTCTTGGTGCCAACAGTATGTGGGCATTGCTGTGGGCTCACAAGCTATGAAATGTGGTGCCCTGAGGCGCAAGTGAGGAGCACAGGTGGAGAGGAGGGGCTGTGGGGGTACTCCCCTACGATGACTGAGCCTGGAGGGCTCTGGAGCTCTGTGGGGCTCCCTTTCTACTTTTTCCATTGCTGTGTGTGAATTTGTGGGAGCAGACTACAACCATGACAGTACTGTTCATATGGTGGTGGTACCCACAATTTGGGGGATTTGTGAAGAACTCTGAACACATTCCTGAAACTGTCCAAGATCTAGTATGTTGAGTATACTTTTTCAGTATTCACGCTGCTACATACCAGAAATGTTGTTTTCAGTTTAGAAGAAAAGCCATCACATCAACGATACAGTATTTCTTAGTGGTTATTTTCTCAATCTTGTTTATGATGTCCAAAAGACTTAAAAAGGAATGAAAAGCCATGAGGAGGGAGATCTGTTGTTCTGTGTCTGTGGGACATCAGGCCAAATAAGAAAACTCAGCCTTACTCTCAACACAGTTGTTAGCATCTGTGAGGTGGAGGCGCTATTCTATCGGGTTGTTGGAAAAGGCATGATGTATTTTTTCTGTTTTTCTATGCAAAAATGCATCATGACTTTTCCAACGACCTAATAGATGCTGGAGATGCATCAAACAGAACAGACAAAACTTCTGTCCTCCCCAAGCTTACACTCTAGGAGGAGACAGATAATAAATGCAATAAATGAGTAAGTGTGTAATATGTCAGGAGGTGAAAAGTACTATTAAAAATAAGGCGGGATGAGGAAGATGGAGAATGCAGGGCACCCAGAGTAGGCATTGTTGAGGAGGTGGCCTTTTTGGGCCAGAGTAACATGCTTGGTAGCTGAGGGTGGAGTTCTCAGAATGCTAAACATGGGCAACGACCTGTGCAGAGACCCTCTGGAGGGTGGGTGCCTCCCTGGCATGCTGCCATTGTCGCTGCAGTGAGGTTAGCGAGGGGTGACAGGACAAGAAAAAATGTCAGACCAAGGTGAGGTGATCAGTGGGGATCACTCTGGCTCCTGCGTTGAGAACACTGTGCCGGAGATGTCAGTAGGAGGCTCCTGCAGCAACTCAGGTATGAGAAGTCAGGGGTCTGGAAGTGAGGAAGTGTTAGGAATTGGGCCTGGGCAACTGAAGCAGGGAGCTGCCATTAGCCCATAGGTTTGGAGAGGTTGGGAAGGATCTGTGGTCAGTCTGGACAGTTTAGGTCTGAGAAGTTTATTGGACATGAGATGTGGCTGTCCAAAAAGTACTTCGGTGGACAGAGGTGTGGCGATCTGGAGAGAAGTCTGATTGGAAACAGTAATCTGGGAGTAATTATTTCAGGATGCATAGTATATACCAGAAATGGTGAGTGACCTACTTAAAGCCAGGTCACTTTAGTGATGATGACCATAGGCTTGAGTGGAGACAAGAGAAGAGTTCTAAGTTTCTAGGAGACTGAGAAGGACTGACAGGGGAATGAGGGGCAAACCAGGAGTGGGCGTGCTTCCTAGAAGCCTGTTGGCTCAAGAGCTTCAAGAAGAAGGGAGAAGGACACCAATATTGCTGCCATACAGTGAGATGATGACTTGAGAAATGAGAGATTTAGCAACTTGTATGTAATGGAGGGCACTGCTAAGAGCAGTGGAGTAGCTGGACCCACAGCCTGACTGACCTGGATTCTAGAGAGATGGAGAAAAGGATAAACCCAGAGTCATAGGAATGGGCGCCAGATGATGCTTTGTGCGTTTTGCAATAAAGAGAAGAAGAGATACGGAGTGCTAGCTGTAGGAAGGAAGTGGAAGTGGGACCTGGGGAACATTTTTGTTTTCCTTAATAGGATAATAGCATGCTTGGATGCCAACAGAGAGGGATGAGCTGCTGATGGAGAAATTACTTGGAGCTCTTCTGTGGAGTGGCTGTTCAGGCAGTTCATCTCCAGCTACAAGAGTTACAGCAATGGAGGTTGATAGAAGCTCCCCAACATTACTATTATTTTTTAAGAGGTTTTTGCGTTAGGGTGTGTGAGCTTGCCAGATAGAAACAGAGACAGCGAGAGTGAGAGGCAAAGTGAGAAATCACCCCTTAGGGGGAATGGTCATGCTGCAATCCCTTTTCCATTCTCCTCCTGGGATCTTGGGCATGCATGCACATGAGCCTGGCGTGATTTTGAAGCCACTGGGTCCAAGACTCAAACTTGGTCGGTCCTGTGGGAGTCCAGCAATGTAACTGCTGCCCCTATTTCTTGACAGTTTTCTAGTCAATGTTGGAAGGAAGGTATCAGTTGAGAATAAGGTTGAGAGAGGAGGTGTTGGAGGGCTGAGGAAAGAGGAGAAGATGGAAGAAACTTCAGTAAGAATCAATAACGTAATATGACAGATGGCTGGGCAGCAGTAAGCTCCCATGGGAGGCTCACGGTCATGGGTTAACGTGAAACCAGACAGTATGGTTGCATCTCTCTCTAGTCAAGGTCAGATGCACTGGGGCTGGCACAAAGTAGACAGAGATGTGGACTCTGCCAGAGCTGAGATCGTCAAGCAGGTGTGAGCAGTGAGAGAGGGCAAACGATTCAGATACCGTCTTGGGTGGGAGAGGTAGGATAGTGAGGAAAGTTAAGTAGGGGATCAATGGACCTTAGGTAGCGATGGATGCAATTTTTGAATTTTGGAGGAATAAACTCAAAAGCCAGGCAAAGGAGAAAGACAAGTATGTGTGACTGAAATAACGGAGGGATGTATCTAGCTGATGACTGGAGGTGCTAAAGGTTACGGGTAAGAAGCTGAAGAGCTGAGAAGCCAGGGGTATTAGAAGGATCACACATATGTGCATTGAAATCCCTAAAGATTAGGAGAGGATTATTCCCAGAGAGAGTAACAGAGCGCTAGGAGTTGAAACGATGGAGCAAAGAGGGAAGACTTCTAGGTTTGGTAGATGACTAAACAAAGAGTGGGTAATGGGCCATAAAGTCTGATGACAAAAAATGTAAAGCCAAGGCTTTGTAGGGAAGAGCAAAGTAGAAGGTCAAGGTGGCAAGAAGAGCAAAGGAACAGTTTACATCCCTTTAATTTAGGGGCAAAAGGAGAGGTGTCACTTGAGAAGGCGTCAAGGGAGGCAGTGCTGTCAGGGCAGATTCAGGTCTGGGTTTAATGGAAGTTTTCAGGAGTTAAGAGGTAGGTAACGAGGACAAAATGGAGAGTATACCTACATCTGATGTGACAGTGCATATGCTTTCTCAAAATATGTAAGGATGTGAACAATATGTTCAAAAATACAGATAAAGTATATACTTATCCCAAAAAGTTATATATATATATGTGTGGGTGTGTATGTGTATATATATATATACACATATAAAATTTATTTATTTATTTTTGATAGAGGTTTTTGTCATAGGGTGCATGTGCTCATCTCAAAGAGAGAGAGACAGAGACAGTGAGAGGAAAAGTGAGAAATCACTCCCCAGGGGGATGGCCAGCTGCAATCACATCTGCTCCATTCTCCTCCCAGGATCTTGGGCATGCACTCACATGCGCCCTGCATAAGTTTCAAGCCACCAGGTCTGGGGCTGAAGCCAAGGTTGGCCATGTGGGAGCCCAGTGACGTAACTGCTACACTATCTGCCGGCCCTCCAAAAGTAATGCTCAAAAATTAAATAAGATCATGGCTATTTCAGTAATACTTATTTAAGCAACTTCACCATAACCAATTAAATTTTCACTTGCTTTAATTCTTACCTGGTCTATGTACAAACTCGTAATAATTATGGTGTTTCTATAGTTTCACCCACTGTGCCTTGTGACTTGCCTCAACATTTATTTTCCCATACAACTATACTTGGAATGTTTGCATTGCATTCCATCATTTTCTTTTTGAAAAATAATTATTTCTTTAATTTTATTACTGTTGCTATGATTTATTTTGGAGAAAGTGAAAAAGCAAGCTACAAGGTCTGGCCATGTGAGATTCCAGCATTTAACCATCATGGCACCTGCTGGCCACAATCATCATTTTCAGTTTTTACATGATTAGTCTGAATTAGGCAGATGCTTAATTGTAATGCAATCTCTTCCACTTTCAAGTTTTACATACTGGCAAATTACTAATCTGTCTGAG